TGTAGAAAATAAATATTGTGTATAATAGCATTAAAGGGTCATCCTAGAGCGTCCCCAGGCTTAAAATCCTGGCTCCGCTAGTGTGTCTGAGGGTGGTATTTTGAAATTATGATTATTGAGTGAGTTTTTCGATCAACGAAAACTCTATGATATCTTTTTTTATTTTATTTAGTTGTCTTAATTCAATGTTGAACATGTTATTTGATTGCAATTGTCGAATCACATCTTTGAAAGTATTGGGGAAATTTTTGTTTAATTTTTGTAAGAGAAGAAGAAGTTGAAAGGATTGATTCTCGAAAGACTAACAAACTCAAGAGCTTGGAAAGAACACTCGGTCCATACAACGAACCTTTGAAATATGTTTCTTTACTATATTTGACTTTTTGTGATAGGATAAAACCTCAAATACATGCACCGACGAGAAAATACGTTCACATACCGAAAATTCGATTGCTGAGGAGGGTACGAATGCTGAAAACAAATTGCGCACAAATTCCAACGGTTTTCCAGCAAAGAAGAAAAAGTCGAGGGATGTAAATGTGTTTGTGAGGCGATCTGGGCGTCTCAAAAATTTAGTTTCATCTTCCGAAAGACAAGGGGTCAAACCCCTGGTGGATCATATTGACCTTGATGAAAACGAAAAGGAAGATGAAAAAGAAGAAGAACAAAAAGAAGAAGAACAAAAAGAAGAAGAAGAACAAGAAGAAGGAGAACAGCATTTTCAGGAAGATAGTGAATCGCCAGTCGTGAAGGAAACTAACTCGGAAGTAGAAACGGAAACGAAAGAAAGAAACATGGAAGAAAATGTTGACTATTTCGTTGAAGCAGCTGAGGAATTCAAGTCTAAGGTTGTTTATTTTGTGTTTATATAGTATGAACTTTATATTTTTAATTTCTTTATATATATATATGTATGTATATCTCTACGCTGATGAATCTAGTGCTTCTTTGGTTAAACAGGTCGCTATAAAACCTCACGATGGACATTCTAGTAATTTCAGCTACAAAAGCTTGTACATCGACTCACAGAAGAAGGTTGTGATGTTTTTTTTTTTCTTTTCTTTTGCTGTTGCGTAAAATAATTATTTTGCTCTTACATCGAGAATTTTTTTTTTGTTTTTTTTGTTTTTATTTTTTTTTTTTTTTTTTTTTTTATAGATTGAGGCATTGATGGAGGCAAACTATGCTCTAGTGAGGAAGTTGGATTTGGCTCTTGGAAAAGTTGAAGCGGTAATTTTAACTTTAAAGCTACACCTTTGTGTTTTTCAGTTTTTATTTTTCATTTTATATGCAAATAACATACCACTAGAAACGGGAAAAAGATATCTACAAAATCATCTATCTGAACCATTTACGGTAGCAAATGAATACCCTTTTCCTGTTCGTTCCCCTAATATACGATTTTTAATGTAATTTTCTTGTTTTATTAAATTGTGACTGGTAAATTATTACATTTTAAATTGTTTTGTCGAATGTAATAATATTATCAGTAACGGTACTTACATTATATTTTTGTTATTTTAATCGTTTTCTTATGACAGTATGAGAAGATGAATTTTGCTTTGGGTGCTTCAAAGGAAGTATTCTTAGTCTCGACTATGTCGAAACAGAAGGAAGCCACAATAAGTTTATCTCCTCAAACGGTTGAAAAACGTATGGATCCTCCTCCCGATGCAAAGCCAGATGCTACCGATGATGATTCTAAGCGGAAGAAGAAGAGTTACAAGAAAAGTAATGCCAAGGCTTAGTAACAATGTCAAGAGTTGTTTTGAATGATATTATTATATATGATGCAATAGTTAATGTTTTGCTATCGTTTATGTGCCGGTTAAGCCTATGTTTAAAAACAACTCTTTTAAGACCTCCTGCCATTTAATGTTGATGATTTCGACTTAGTTTTCTTGTGTAAAATATATATTTATGAAAAAAATATTCAACTTGATTTGTAAATTACAAATCATTCCTCATACTTTTGTAGCACTTGTAAAATGAATGCAAATGGGGTCAATTCTATGTTGCACCCGTGGAAGTATACATTGGGTAGATCATTACCATCAACATGGGTGTTGTGTTTTTGTGTGTGAATGAATGGTAATGATCTGATTGGTATATTTCACCTGATGTAGCATAAAATAAACCTGCAAAGTATTTAAGTAGCACCGTTAGCCCCATATGGTGTCAAATTTGTCTTTTGTGGCCGATACTCTTATATTTTGCAGAGCTATGGATGCTGGCTACATTTTTATGATGCTCGCACTTCGGGACATGAGATCAACTACGAAAAATCTACGATTGCTATCACCATTGTCAAGAAGGAAGCCAAGTCATACACAGTATTTCTTAATTTCGAGGTGGTGGAGAGATACATGAGAAGTACTTGGAGATGCCAGCTACCATGAGAACTGATATCAATTGCTTAATTAAAGTGATTGAAATTAGGGATTTGATCGACATAAATTATGGATTTCAAATCAATCATATTGATTGTGTGAACTTTTCTTTTCCTGTGTTTCTTAGTTTGTATAAATAAAGGTTAAATTCCACTTCGCACCCATAAAATATAGCATTTCGGTTTTTCGCATTCTTGTTTTTTTTTTTTGTTAATTGCACTTTGCACCATCGAAGCACAATTGTGTCAAGTGTTGGGATGCCAACTACGTACCATGGGTATTGATATCAATTGCTTAATTAGAGTGATTAAAATTAGGAATTTGATCGACATAAATGATGGATTTCAAATCAATCATATTGATTATGTGAACTTTCTTGCATTTCTTAGTTTGTATAAATAGAGGTTAAATCCCACTTTGCACCCTTGAAATATAGCATATCGGCATTTCGCACTCTTGAAAATTTTAATTGCACTTTGCACCATCAAAACACAATTGTGTCAAGTGTTGTCCATTTGCAGCAAAACTTTCAAGATATGACAAGCTATTTAAGTCAAGTGGAAACTCTAAAAGACGAATTTAATTTGTTCATGCCTCGTTCTGATAGCATTACTGAGAGGGGGAGCCAAGAGATAAATTTGTTATGGTGTTAGCTTTGGTAGGTCTTCCGTCAAATTTGTTTTTAGTAACCGAACAGATTCTTGCTAGTTCGACCATTCCTACTCTGGACGAAGTCTTTGCTTGATTACTTCACCTCTCAACTAATCCCGACTTTAAATCATTCGTGTTTACGATACAAAACATACAACATAAGATAACAGGAAATGGAAAGGAAAAGGCTCAAAACTCCATTGCAATAAAGTGGGTCACACATGTGATACTTTTTGAGTTTTCATAGTTTGTAGGCGATCAAAAGATATAGAAAAATTATTCTATATTATTGTGATATAAAAGTTACAGAATGTTTGTCTTAAATAAGAACAATACAAGAGAAGCTAAACTAGGAAACAAAAATATGTGAAGTAAAGTAACTAAATTCTAATTACCCTCATTCTTAGCTATGGACTTTCCTATTTACACACCTATCAAATCCCTTAAAATATGTATTTATTAACATTTTTTATTGTTGTGAAATAAAAGTTATAGAATGTTTATCTTACATAGGAATAATACGAGAAGCTAAACTAGGAAACGAAAATATGTACACGGACTAATTCCTAATTACCCTGATTCTTAGCTATTGAGTTTTCTATTTACACACCTATCAAATGATTCAAATCTCTTGAAAATTCAAAAGATTTATTGTATTTAAGAACATGAGTTAACAGCCTATTAATCAAATATGATGCCGCCTCTCCCTGCAAATATTTTGGAACATTCATTGAAAATACGATAGCACGAGAAAACTCGAGTAAATGGTTTTTTTTTTCTTTTAGTTATGTCATATTGTTGTGGAGAACCGACCCAAGTGGATTGGTGAAATTTTGTATCTTCTTTCAAACATTTCCTAAAACCTCATATGAAGTATTCAATGCCATTATCAATTTGAAGAAAGCCATTTTTTTTTTCAAATTGGTTTTCAATCATTAGATAAAAAAAAATTTAAATAATTTTTTAACCTTAGATTTTTCATGCGTCAAATATACCCAACACAAACGACTATGATCAATGATAAAAGTTACAAATCATCTTTTTCCAAAAAATAGTTGTGATCTTAGAGGGACCCCAAACATCACTATGGATCAAAATGGTTTTGATGAACAATAAGAATTTGGAGAATAATAGTGCGATGAATTTTAGATAGAAAACAACTTTCACAATAAAAAGATGAATAATTCAATACTTTAAATAAAAGAGGAAATAAGTTCTTAAAATTAGGGGAAGTAGGATGCCCTAGTCTAAGATGCCGTAACATTATTTGTTCTCTATTAGAAGTTGAAGTGATACTACTCAAGCCTTGAACATTTTTATTATTGAAGATATCATCATGAAAATAGTAGAGACCCTCTGTCACCCTAGCACTGCTAATTATCTTCCCCGAACTCTGTTGCTAAAATTCACAATGGGATTCATCAAACATAACACGACAATTAGAATTTTTGCATAGCTTACTGTCAGATAAAAGATTACAAGCAAGTTTAGGAACATGATAGACAAACTTAAGATTAATAATATTTGAAAGTTTGGTTAAACATTTTCCAGTAATAGGGGAATATGGTTCATCGACTATTCTAATTTTTTCAGAGCCTGATCATGGTGAATATGTTTGGAATAAATGGTAAAAACTTGTCATATGGTTAGAGGCCCTAAATCAATGATCCACGAGGTAGGAGCAGGATTTAAATGACAAGGTAATGCTTTTGAGTTGTTACATGTTTCAGAGAGGGAAACACTAGGAATACCAGCGGAAAAATTGGTATTCAACAGATTTAGTAGGTGATTCATCTGCTTTTTATTATGTTTTTTTATTAAAGAAAAATGCTTCGACTTCATGAGTTGATGCTATACGACCTAGTTTTCCTAATTGTTTGTTCTTCCAATTAACAGATTTTGCATGAACTTTCCAGCAAGTATCACTAGTATGGCGAGGCTTTCCCCAATGATTACATCATACATGAGGCTTATCATCAAATTTCTTGCTGATATTTGCTTCAGCAGTAACTAGGGCTAAAGATTCAACCATTTTGTTTGATAACGTCTTCCTAACA